TGATGTGTTGTCAATGTGTACCCGTCATAAACCATCGGTTTTACCATCGTTTCGTTCTTTTTTTAATTCGGTTGGGAGTAGGTATAACTGGTATAAGTATACTGCCGCGGTAACGACCCTCGCGGTATACAGACAAAAAGTAAAAAAGTATCGCCACCATACTATTGTTAAAAATTTTTCGATGGGGGTAAACGGGTATTGTTCCTTACTTCAGAGTTAGATTTAGTCAGAGGGGGAGGGGGATGATTTAGTTAGCTACAGTCCAGGAGTCCTACACTTATATATTATTTAACAGTTAATACAGATAAGTTTAATCATATTAAAATAATATATTATAAACGTATGTAAATATTATGGCGATTTATTTTTCTATTTAAAATTAAATTTACATGATGAAAACAAAAATTTTAATAAATAATTTGTATTTCATTATTGTATTAATTAACATATTATAATATTGTTAACACTCAAAAAAATTAAGCGGTATTCTAGTCGTTGCATAGAATCTAAAGAAGGTTTTTATGCTATCTGTGAACGGTTAATCGATCATAATAATGTTATCAAATATGTTTCTAAGTATAAATTTAACTACACGTAGATTGGAATTATACATCATAATCCGTAGTAATACGAGTAGGTATGGAATTAAACGATGAATTATATATCAAAACAATAATTTTCGGCAATATCAACTATCATTACTCGTATTATGATTAGATGTACATATTATATACCACAAGTATAACGGTGAGTGAATTATTACACCTTAATAATAATGTGAATAGTACATAAGAGTTTAGTAGAGACTATAGTTTTTGCTTATTGCTTATTATTACTTATTTTCTGGAAAATTTAAGATTGTAAGTATTGTTTAATAAACAAAAAATATATTGTTCTGTTTATTTATTTAGAGCTTTTACAATAAACTCCACTCAAGGTAGGGATGACTCCACAGATTTGGTTAGGAAGGGGCCAAGTCATAATGTTCATAATAATATCATACCATGGTATATTATTTTATATTATTATATAGCTTATTTGCATTTCATAGTATAGATAATATGTGAATACCTCTAACATAACACTTGTACGTGTTTATAATAGTTGATGATACAGTTTTTTAGACATACGGCCTCGGGGACGAGCCCTAGCCGAAAGCCTATTAAATTACTAAGTTCACCTCTGCCTGACTCTGAGTATTGGTAAATAAAGAGTCGAATGTATTATTTCTGTTGTTAGTTGTCATTGCATATAGGTATAAACAGCCTACTATTAATTTGTAATCCGCAATCACGATGTATTCAATGTATTTGTTTATAATTATAAATATACTTTGAATGTAGCCTTGATTATTCTCTACATCATGTCCATAATCTATTAATTATAGTTGCAAATATTCATATTAATGATTCATCTAAGTCAATATTAAGAGTTGTGGTTTCATTGCAATTAATAATTTATAATATAGTCTTTATCAGTAGGTTCGACTGATCTCAGTTTTCAACATTAAGGAGGTTTTGTTTCGTTTGAATATATTAATAGAAAAAAGATTTCATTTATTATCTTTAGTGCTATTTTATGCTTTTGATATTTGAGTTGATGAAATTATAAATACATTTGCCGGAGAAAAAAATTATGGATTTTATATTCAGGTACACGACTGATGTAATTTTATATAGCTGCAGTTGTCATGAAAACATAAGATAGTGTACCAAAAATATACCATTTCTATATAATTTGGTATAAAATTATTACGATACATTTATAAAGAAAATCGTTAAGTTCAGTCTTGAATTTGTGACTGAATTCTTTCAGATAAAACATCTAATTAAGTCCGATAGAACAGCTAGTTAATATTGGACTTTCCTATTATTATTTTATCAATGTAATTTATTACTAACGATATGAAATATGTACAGCGTAAGATAAAATGATTATTTCCACATAAATATAAGATAATGGCTTAGTTTAGGAGTCTTCAATCTTTTTTTACGGAGGGTTAACATTGAGATATGTTTTGGCATAATTTTTTTAAATTGTCTGCAACAAATTAATAAATAATTACAAACAATAAAAACTAATGTATTATTTTCTAAACAATAATTAGTTTACTGCGCTTAGAGGGCGTAGATTGGATATCCCTAAACTACAGTTGATTGATGATACTTGGTAGCGATATTTTATAATACCTAACATAATACACGTGTTTTTAATTATTCATGATTACTATATTATTTGTCTTTGAATTTGATAATTTCACTTAAATTTTTTTTAAGGTTTTGTACCTACAGTCTGAAGTCTGTAAAATAGAAAGTAAAATTCTTTTTTTTTTTTTATTAAATTATGTTATTTTTAAAAGTAAATTAGACATAAACTTGGGTCTATGCAGAACACAACTGTAAAACTTTCTTTATAATTATAGAAAAATAAACATTGAATACTTTATACGCAAAGTAAATAATACACAATATTTTAATAAAGGACAAATAAATAGAATTCTTTAATTTTTTTTAACGCGCACTTTTTTACAAATTTTGACCTAACATATTAGTAACATATAATTATATATATGTATATATATATATATATATATTAGTACTATACGTAAGTACTCTTACGCGTTGCGCTCTGCCAAGTTTGGATCAATCGTAAAGCCGTATATTACGGTAGGTACCTATATAGCAAATTATAAATGTCACGCGACGTGTGTCGCACCTATATATACTGCTGTTGTATAAAATTATATTATGTTATCATTATATTATCCGATATATACCATAAGACGACTCGAGCTTCTTGTCACGTGTTCACGCGTAGTGCGTACACGCATGGTCGACCTCAATACATCACGACAATATTATTACTACTTCGTCTGCACTTCGTTTTCGTCGTGGTTTATATAAATTTATATATACATTTTTTCGAGATTTCTTCATAAAAAATTCTCATAGAAATAACGTCTTATACATTATACGTTAATAAAAAAAAATCCCTCTATTTGTATTGTTTAAGCATAAAATATTATCATTGAAACAACAACCGTCGTATTATTATTGCGTGTTGGAAATGATATATCTACATTATACAAAGTCATTCGCAAACATGTTCTCACCTCCATTTTTTCCTATAATAATTTATACAAATTCTAAATCTTTGAAATTTCTAAATAGAAATACATACATATTACTGAAATATCAAATTTTCAAATACTTGGATTTATTGAATAATTTAAAGAACTTTATTGTGATGATATAAGTGAACTATTTTTTCAAAAGAGAACCATACTTTTTTATTGTAAATTGTAAAGGCGACAATTTTTTGGAAACATCAGATGTATACAAATCAATACTCGAACAAATAGTTCAGAGACCTTTATTATTAAGGCCTTCAGTATTTGATCCAGCGCGTTTTTTAATTTAACAACTAAATAACTTATTCTAACAGAAAAACTAATATACCTATCATGTTAGATTTGATGATACAGTTAGATTTTCATAGTTTGAAAGATAAAGATTTAAACAGATTGCATTGAATTTTATTTTACAAACTATATTTTAAACATATATAATAAATATTACTAAATGTATACTTATAGATATTATTTTTTAAATATTTTCCAATTTTTGTGATTATACTTAAACATTTAATAAAACTATTGAAAAATAATTCTTAAAATCAAAAACAATATTATCTGTATAAAATGTTTATATTTAAAAACATTGAAAACTTTTACAAGAGATAATAAGAAGGCTAATATGCAAAATATTTGGAATGTTTTTTCTCGTACCCATATTTATTTAAATCCGAAATTACTTGATAAAATATCAGTTGAAACCCTATTAACGTTTCCGAAAAAATGCGTTTCTTAAAATATACAGTTTATGAAAAATACATACCGAAAAAATATTTTTTTCAAATTTATAAAATTCCAAACATATATTTTTAAAATTTGTACGCACATCTCAAAAATATAATAGTTTTTTTTTCTATAGGTGCAACATGTTGTATGACTATTTCGCAATGCAACTAAAAATTGTTTGAATATTTGTTTCTTAATAAATAGCTGGCTCCAAAATCTTTTAACTTCAAGTACTAAGGTTAATAAGTTATTAATATTTTATAATTTGCAAAGTTGTCTAAGTATCATATCTGCGTATAATGGACAAAATATTTAAAACATTTTATTTAAAAATAAAATAAAAACACACTTATGTATTTGCAAGTATTTAATACAATTCAGTATTTTATTGATCTCATATCTATGCTTGTAATACATATTATTATATATTTGTTCAACATTTAAATAAGTACAAGTCTTAATTATATTTATACAATTATGAGTAGGTAGTATACCTTTGGTAGGTTATCAATTATTTTATATTAATGTATATGATAATAATAATATCCGAGTAAATATCATATAATATTATCTATAATATTACATAGGAACCTACTCTAACATTGCACATCAACACACGATTCTAACAGTTTACAAAGTATAATAATAATATAATAATAGAAAATGAATTATCTTATATAAATTATGACATACATTCAAACAAATTGGTTAAAAGTGTACACAAATAAAAAATAGCACTATTAAATGATTATAAATATATATATAGTGAGTAATGTGAGTATAATTATTAGAATTATTAAAATAATAATTTAACATAAAATATTGTAATAATATACGAGTATAGATTATTTGGACACAAATATTTAATCTCTATATTGTTTTCTTTTACACAGTGTATCTATATTCGTAATTTTTATCGTTCTACTTTTGTAATTCAATTCTGTAAAATTATAAATAAATATATATATATATATCTATAGTACTATTATCGTCAAGTATAAATTATGAATGGGGTGAAAAATATTGAATAAAATACTATACAGGTCACATAACAAACTTGTTAAAAAAAAAAACATTTTATTTTAAACAAATTTTATTGGATAATCACGTAACTATTAGTATATAATAAGCATTATGTATATCAAATCTAATATATATATAAATATATATATATATATATTAAAAATTGAATAAATCGAGTATTTGAAATATTGTAAAGTTTTCCATGAAGACCGCAAAATCGGCGAGACACTCATATGCTATGTGCCTATGTATAATATATTATTATTTATTATTACATAGTGCTTGAAAAAATTATAGATTTTGTAAAATTCTGATATCCGTGTTGTTGATAATTTAGTCAGATTTTATAATTTAAATAAATATTTTATAACTTGTAGTCAGTTTCTAATAATAAAATAAATAGTTAAAATAATTTAATTGGAAAATATAACTGTCAATAATTCAGATTTTGGGATCTCCACCAAATTAGAACCGGGTGATCATATTATAATTTACAGCATAACATAATACACCTATAGCTTATGATTATTTTATATAATTTTCTAATTACGCTTTACGCTATGTCAAACAACACGGTTTATATAATTATAATACTATACACGTTTTCAAAAAAAAATTGTTAATTTTGCATTTATCGTCATGATCTTGTATCATATTAATAATAACCATTATTGTAATATCATTTTAACGTAAAATTATTCTGTAAAGAGACAGATCGAAGATTAATTTTAAGTATTTAAAGAATAGAATAGAGATTGCGCATTCACTGAGGTGTTGACTGTCAAGTGTAACAATTTCTATTTTATATATACGTAAAAATCACTTATTTCAACATTAACAACGGAAAAATGAAATTTTACCGAAATTTAACAAAAATTCTCATCAAAACATTTAAAACCAATATAGATCTTTGGACGTCTCTTGCACTTGAGCTTCTAGACCTGCAATCAGAAATAAACATAATTTAAAAAAAGCTATAATTCATAAGTAATACAATTTGAACATCAAAAATATAATCATAGTGAATTGAACACAATATAAAATAGTTAGAAAAAAAAACAAAACATTTTATCAACACAGTCTTGACACAAAGTGCATAAATTAGAAATATAATATGTATAAACAATATATTTCTACAAGTCAAGTAAAATGTAACAGTATTTTCCCATAAAGCATTTATAGACTTAATTTTTTTATGAAGTATTTTTTGAATGTTTTTAAATTTATGTTCTATTACTGTCAGTGAAAAAAAATGTTATTTCTTACGGAGGAAATATTTCTAAGTGCATGTGTCTTGGTTTTTTTTTCTTACATGTTTACATACGAGGTGGGGGAGATCGGGCTGCACAATTTAAGTAACACTAATAATATTCCTTCATATTTAGCCTCTATAAAATATATTGTAGGATACAAGATGAAATGAAAATATAAAAACGAATATTTAAAAAAAATCGTATTTTATTAAATGTGTATAATTTTTTGAAATAACTGACGTTCGATAGATCACATCAACACATTTCAGCTTACGTGAAATCAGTTTTTCACTTTATTCATATATAATATATATAATATGTTATATGGAGAATTTTTCCAGTTGATTTTTTTTAAGCTTACGGTTTTATTATTTGTATATATATTATATATTTAAAAAAAACTAATTAGTCTACGGCAGGCTGTCGAACTGTCATAAAATCTTGTATATTTATTTATTTTTTTAAAGTTATTAATTTATATTCGCAGCTAATTTAATGTTTTTATTTGAATTATATTATTTGTATTTCATTAGTATTTGTCGACTATGGTTGTGGTTTATAGTCTCGTATTGTGTTTAAATATTTTAATATGCAGAATAATTATAGATACACCTGTTATAGCAAACATCGTTGGTATTGAAATTTGGCTGTAGACACGGAATTTGATTACTATATAAACGAATGCGTGAAAAGTGCCAAGAGAATAAAGATAAATAGCAATTCGCACAAAATGTAGCGGCCCTGCCAACCAAATTTGTAAGTTTATTGATTAGATATACAATCGAGCTGTGGAATTTTAATATAATTATATCGATGGGTTAATCCAATAATTGGCCATAATTATTATAATATATCAGCTAACTAATCCAAAACTTAAACTTATTTTAACACATATAATCGCAAACGTATTCAATATAAATCACTGAATTGCTATTTATATAGGTACATTATATCTATAAGTAATATAATTATTTTATTTTGCCGATTATATTACGTTTTCGTTTTTAATGTAATTTTTTGTTTGTATACATATTTTTTTATAGTAATGTATTATAACTCCCCATTATAGTTGAGAACATATTTTATTTAAAGTATTTTCTTCGTATTTTTTGGTAATTATAAATTATAATATATGCCTTGAAGCACGGATCAGGGCATAAATTATCATTGTACCACTTAAAATTAATATTTGAAGTTAAAATTTTAAAGATGTGTTTTAATATGTGCATAAATAATGTATAGAATTCTATGAAAAGGTAGGAAAATCAGAAGTAGCATGATAGTTTTTTTTATTTTTTAAATCAATTCTATAAGTAGGTACAATCCACTGAGTAATGATTTAAAATAATAGATTTATCATTTTTTAACTATAAATATCAATTAGGTATCTACATAGAAAAAATGAATTAAAATTATTTTCTCTTCACACACTAACGATTACCTAGGTAAATATAATAATATAATATATGATTAATAATTACCAAGTACGAGTAAGTACCTAATAACCTATAAAGGCTAAAAGTATCCATAGAACATTTTAATTAGCGATTATAACATTATGACAGGCCTACATATTACTTATTAATTATCATATAGATATATTCAATATTGTATACATTCATAACATTATACGATTTACGTTTGTAACCTACTTACAGTAAATACGTAATTTAATGAAAAAATTAATTGTATAAAATATTTTTGAGTGAGACGTAGCAATTCCAGAGAATACTGTTAATTTTGTTCGAGTTAATTTTAAGTTCTTTCATGATAAATATTTGTGTAAGTTATTAAAAATTAAAGCACCATTTCCGAAATTGTGGTCACAGACCAGTATGGATTTGCGAATAAAAATTGAAAATATTATATATCAAAACGAAAATACCAATATAATATTTTTATTACACAGAAAAATGTACTGTTAAATATAAGTAAATCATCGACTTTAAGACAAGACTATCCAGAAATATCAGGAGCAACAATAAGACCATTGATACTTTTTTAATCAACGTATTTCAGTGAAAAAGAATTTTCTACTCATGAATATACAAAAAATAAATATCAAAAAACGATTAAAAATAGAATCAGATTTACAAGTCTATGATTACCTATCTAATATCGTATTATACCCGGATTTAGTGTCAAAGAAACATAGCCACCAATCATATTGGACTTTTTTTTCAAATTAAATATTTATTTTTTTTTATTAATTAAATTTTGTATCATAAAAATACAAACATTTGATTAAGAAAATAAAGTAATAAAATCATTATAATTATTAATTATTGTTTTATATTTTTACTTTTATTTAGGGAATTAGATATTAAAGGATCTGCGACCATTTTTACTATTTCTAAGAGATCTGGAGAAAAAAATGTTAGAAAAACGCTGCATTAATGTATAATAAAACTTAAAAAACCACGTTGAAACAAAATTCAATAAAGCTTAAACGTAACAACCATGTAAAATTACATAAAAAGACGACGATGAAAAATTATATGTAGGTACATGATTTATAGGTTTATATGTTTACCTAAATATTTATTATCTCCTTTGTGGTGCGATATTATGAACTGTACAGCGATAACTATATATTATATTATATTACAATTCATTAAGTTATTAGGATACCTGTTAGTATACTGTTAATATGTGCATGCATATTATTGTACATTATATAATACACATACATATTAAATATATTACATATACCATTCCAAACATGGTCTTGTTTCATTTTTCATTTGTGAAACGAAATTTTGCGCGTTAATATAATACACATTTACATACCGTGTACTAGCGTGCGGGACGATGGGTTGGAAAGGTAGTGACGAGGAGTTGAGGGAAGTATATATACAGAGATAGCACATTATATAGTCGTGACGAGGGAGTGAGGGGAGTATACTCGTATATAATAATATACGTTTGTGAACGAAGTCTGCGACGACGACGATGACTGTTGTATGTATATATATATATATATATATGCGTATATACTGGTTGGAAAGTATATGATAAATATATATATATAGTAAGAATGCGTATATATAATGCTGAAGGGGAGTCGAAGGGTTTTATTAAAACGGGAGATATAGAGGGAAAGAGAGACTCGGAAACAGAGATGGAATGAGAAAGCATCGAGAGGGAAAGGTTGAGTTATGGGAAGAATTTAAAGCCGCGTCGTTTCGTTCCACGCGCGACGAGGGTTACTATACATACCTATAGTAATATGTATGCACGAGCAGAAACTCGGGGAGGGTTCGGCGTATGCGCGCGCGCGACCATACGACTATGGTATGGTAGGTCAAAGAGTGAGCGGGGGAGGGACTCACGAAACCCCCGGGATATATTGGGCGAATGGAGAAAAACTTTAGGATACCACCACGGTGCACCACGACGATTTGATTTTTCCGGCGTGTTCGTCTCCAACGGTATAATGGAGTAATCTACATGTTTAAGCTTTCCGGAGTGCAAGAGGCAGAGTAACACACAACATAACAATAATATAAAATATAAACCAATGATAAAAAGACAAGGTACAAAAAGCTATCTTTATACTTATACAACGCGTGCATCCTAATCAGTAATCATTATACGTAATTTACGCAGTTACCTACTGTGACTAATAAGTAATAAGTAAGGAAGTAAGAAAGTGTTTTAAGTCTTAACATTAATTATGACAGAAGTAATATAATTTATACAGCTAAATATGATAATTAACAGGTATAATATGAAAATATAATGTTGTATCCATGCTGTTGGTTATTTTTTTACGAGTAAATTAAATTTTCGAATTTGCAATGGTGTATTATTTTTGCACACCCACGTCATTATTGTATATACATTAATTAAGTTAAGAAAGCTGATTCTGTGAACTTGATAAATTCCCGGTTTTGAAGGTATATTTATGCAACACAATAAACTTATAATTGCATGTACAATTTAAATGGTTTTTATTTTTGGCTAGTACGTATGAATCTATATTAAATACCTACCCATATTTTGAATTTTTTTAATACCTGGTTATAATATGAATCTAACTGTTATAAAATCGTAGTGCAAGAGCAATTGTAACTATTTTAAGTAACTACGGGCAACAAACAAATATGTTATCATCGAAAATCGTAACAATATGTACTGGTAAGTGGTAACTATAACAGTCGGACAGTTGGAAAACGATTGATTAGTTTTAATAATTATATCCACGGTGATCCTATGGAATGAACGCAATTATATTTTATAAGTAAATGTATATTCTCATACAATTCTAGTGTACTTTGGCGCAAAAAATAAATTTCAATCTATATAGTTGTCAGCTGGGCAGTATATACACACTCGACGTTCACTGCAGTTTGTTACAAATGGGTACCGGGTATCGCATGTAATATATATTATATTATTAACATGTGCGTGTGTGAGTGCACATTTTGGCATTTATATATGACCACGGTTGCCTTGGTAACGTTGCCCGACCGTGTAGGTGTGGTCATTCCGAACCAATGATACGGCTCGTTCGTGTACCGCATATACCCCTCGTGAGATCGATATAATAATAATACACATATATACGCTATTCGCTTTCTGATGTGCGTGTGTATACATATAGGTAACTGCGGTTGTTACCGAAGGATGGTCACGCAAACACTTTCGTGTCATGGTTTTGCGAGTTTCCTCTACTGCACATATTATACGTCGAGATATATATTATCGTAATAGAATATGCTAGATACTTTTCCCCTGATTGCATACCCCATCGGATTTTTGTCTGAAACGTTTGCATTATAATTTAATAAACATAACTGCATTAATGCAGTAATTTCTTTTTTAATTATTATTTATTATTTTTTTTTTCAATAATTGTCATCGCAATAAATTATATTCACTGAAAATAAAATCGTAATATTTTTTTATAACATATAGGTATATAGAGGTATATACAGTGAAATATTTTAATAATGGACACACTTCGTCACAAAAATTGTCTCTGAAATTTGGAGGTTTCCACTATATTCAATGAATATAGTTGGTAGTAAAGTTGTTGCAAGTTTCTATAGAAAAAAGTTCATTATTTGGAGGTATCTGTTAAAGGATCTCACTGTAATAAGTATTAGTAGTATAAGTTAAGTTAGATAATAATAGTTAACACATTGAAAATCGATGTACAATGTACCTACATAGAAACCGAGTATTATAACTTATATTTTAATCGAAGAAATTATACAATTATTTTTATTTTTCATCACCGAAAGTAAAATAATGTTGTCCAGATGCACAGATATAAAAATATTATAATATTGAATATAATTTTTTGTGCACATTATACTACATGATTAGGGTAGTTTCTTCCCAATTTTTGTTTTTGTAAATATTATATTATATAATATATTGACCAACTCTAATTTTCAATTTTCTCGCATTTTTTATCAGTTTATACACTCAAAATCTCTTAACTTACATTTTTTTTATATTTTATACATGATATATCATTTGAATTAAATAATTTCAACACTATTAGGTATAGGTACATAATTAAATTATATAATGATATTTTCATGTATACATTTTTTTTTAGTTAAAATTTTTAGTGTATAAATTTCAAAAATATTTGAGCTATAAAATGACAAAACATTTTATTAATATTTAATTACTATTAAATGTTTCAATTTTTTATTATTATTATTATTATTATTATTATTATTATTATCAGCGTAATATTGAGGAAGTTTAAATAAATAGTTACAAATTAAGTCTATATAATTCACTTAAAGAAAAAAAATTCTCAATATCCTCGCTATTATAGGAAAATTTTTTATTAGTAAGGCTAGTACATCGAATTAAAAAGATTCAATAAATTTGATATAACTGTACGAGCACAAATATTCTATATACTAAATAAATTATAATATCCTTAACAGAGTTTCTTTAGTTCTCAAAAGACTACATTAAAGGCTGTGGTTTATTTTCCACCCCTATTTATCTGACATTTGAGACAACCAAGTTGTTAATTAATTACACAAAGAATTACCTGCGTTTTTGCATGCATTATATTTATATTATACATTTAAACAACGATGAACGTGATAAATATATAGATGTTGTTTAACTTTAAAGAGAAATTAATAGGTATATCCGCTTTAAGTTCTTAATATAGAAAAGAAAGTGTAAAATTAATAATAGTTTTATTTGCCTATAACTATATAAATAAACTATATCTACTATTTTTTTTTTATCAATGATAATCAATTATAATAGTTTCAACGTATCGCCAAATAAAATTATTTATTTATTTTTAATAATAATCGTATATTCACTTGATATGCAAATATTCTAAATACTAGCTGTAGTACTATATATTTAAACGTATAAATATATTAATAGAATACATTTAAAAAAAATATATAATAAAAACTAAAGATTTAAGGTTTAAAGTGTAACTCTAAAAATAAATAAATTATGTAATCAATGAATGTGTGAGAAGGCATGCATAATAATTGCGGGTGGGTTATAGAAAGAATAATTCTAAATATTGTAATATTAATACTATTAGCTAATGATTTCAAAATTTGTAGTATTCCTAAAATAATGTACCTACTCATACCTTACATATTATATATTCAGATATTTTTATAAACTTATCTCTTTATAGCCAATCATGTAAATTTTATAAGGATTCGTACCACTAAAATGCAATAGTATGTGTAACTTATGTCACTATAATACGTATGTAAGCTACAAGTATGTATATAGTAAGTTTATTACTAAACCTAACAGAGAGTAAGTATATTATTATTATACATTTATACATAATTTTAAATATAATATAGGTACTAAATATTGACATATCGCAGCAGTTTCTAGTGTTTCTAAATTTCTGCGTGCATTTTGCTCCGCTGCGGATCAAGACAACTGCAGTTGAAGTAATGTGCCGTGAGCGCGCGCGTTTATCAAAATGAGATTATTATACGTCTAGAGATGGCGACCGCGATGTAGGTCTTTAGTTCAATTAACTTTATATGGTCGATATGATGACGTGCCTGGCAGTTTCAAATCGGTCGTCAGCAATGCAGTTGGTCACGTGACCTGAAGTCCGTGAGCCGACTCGTTTTTTCACATATTTATATATAATATATATATATTATACGCGCACACGCTTTATCATTATTCTTTTCGCATCGATTCTCCGACTTAACTGAAACCAAGGCAATTGCTAAATTATCGTCCATTGTATCTGTATATATATATATATATATATAATCACGGCCTTCTGTTCTACCGCTGCAGTGGTAACGATATTATATACACGTCGGCTATATGGTTATATATACCCATAATAATAATCTATACTATATATTATATTATAGGTATATACATAAAATGTTTAAACAATTTTTTTCATATAATATTATATACCTATATATTTATACGATAATAATATGTTTATTGGTTTATTGTTTATATTATATTTTATGATGCCGTTTTTTAAATTTCATGATATATTTTTATAAATACACATTTGCCGACTATATACATTAGGCATTAGGGAAACGTTTCTATTTTCTATGTATAATGGATGGGAAACACACTACAAATATATACGCGTGTATACATGCGCAAGTGACGATGCCGACAATTTCCTTTGTTACCACTTGAACCTGTATATATATGATATTTGCAATGTGCATTGTATACATTTTATATTTTGGTCTCGACACCTGCGAGATTTCAGACAAACGAGGAAAAAAAATATTATATTGTTTCTGGTCATCGATGCTTGGGTATATCTTTCTACACACATATGTATGTAATAATTTTTTTCAAACATTAATTATGGTGGTTGATTATACGTTTTATTTTTTTCGAGACGTCAAACCTGCTGTCGGTTGAAGTTAAACTCATAAATTATTACTGTTGATGTTGTATTTTTTTAATAAATGGCCGTTAAATAATTGTAATTTCAATGCAATGGTTACCCACATCGTATATATTATTACATTATTACACGGGACTGTATCATAGTATCATGCATGTAAGTTTTACGCATATGAAGTACCTATTATATAATATATTCCACCGCTAACCGCTGGGCGCTTCGCCTAAAGATTTTTCTAATATACAGATATATAGCATAGAATATAGAAAAATTATTAATCTTTAAGTTAAACACCTTGTATAGAAGTAATTGAATAGGTAAATGTTTTTTTCTAAAGCTTTCAAATTTTTCGTATTTTAATATTCACTGAAAATTCGGCACAGAATACCGATAACCTTTACGTATACCTACAACTTTGTAAGTTTTGTCTATAAAAACTCGTTTTAACATTCATACGCATAAAACAATTCCATAGAGGACCAAAATATAGTAGATCGTGATTGGTCATCGGTGCATCAATTCATTTTATAAATTATAAATTAATTATAAGAATATGATATCCATTAATAATAAATAATAATAATTTATGTATAATTAAAGCTATACAGTAGTATACATTACATGATTTATAACATTGTTTTTACTCGTATATTCTGTTATTTATTATTAATACATCTTATATTTATTTAATTTTTTTTTATTTACTAAGCGCTTTGCCAACACAGCATAAAATCGGGTTCACATCTACGTAGTAATCTGTTTGTTCTTTCAATCATATTCTAATTAGTCGTTATTGACTTATTGTGATCATAGTGTAATGTACTAATCATTAATAACCAATCTACCAACAAATGTCCAACAATGTCGAGTTCAACTTTTGGACTTGACACAAAAATTAGACTTTATAGTCGTGAATTTGACTTATTTATTATCTTGTTATATGTCAATTTTTTTTATACATGAAGGTATTGCGGGGTATAAAAACATATGAATTGTACAATTGTACACTCTGTCCAACAAGAAAACATAAAGATTCTGCGCATCCCCATTCGATACCATAGTGATATCAATTCCACTTTAGCAAGGTATATCATCTGCATATAATAATAATCGATTTTTTTTGGGTCACGGCGTGTTTTTTCGTTGGACAGACTATAATTACTTACTAGATACTAAATCATTAAGTATATCACATAATTTATTATTATTATTATTATTACCTGGAACAGTTGGATATGATGAGTAAGACGTGCCGGTATCCAAGGCTGGGTGATGGGCGCTGTTAGGCCATGGTTCCATGCCAGCTTTGCCGTGATACTGGTGTGAATGTGGGTGACTAGATGGAGGAGGTGGTGGCGGCGGTGGTGGTGCCAGTCTCGAAGTTGGTGGCGGTAGTAATAAGCTGCTGTACTGAGCAGCCATGTTATGGTGGTGATGGTATTCGTGCACAGCCCTGCAGCAAAAATAACACGCGGTTCAGTACTTAACTTAACCTTGGTGAAATTTGCTTTTATAATATATTATGATAGATTAGATAAAAATGTATGATTAAGTACCTATACTGCAGTGGATGTTTTAATAAATTATTAATAGGTATAGTTAATATCTAAATTGAATACTTAGAACTTATAAAAGGATTTTGATAATTATTATAAGAATTATAATGTCTGCGAGTCAAAAACTGATGTAACTTGAGACTAAAGAATACACTAAGGGACAGAAACGTTTAAATGCACGTTTCGTTACTTAGTAGTCTAGTAAAATATAGATACCAGTAAAAGCATTAGGTACTAAACGGTAATCAAAATATTTATTCTCCATTATGTCATTGCACATATGTAAACATAAAACAAATCTGTTTTGTTAAAAAAAAATTTTTTTTTATAAAATTTGAAATAAAATAACTGCTGCAAGAACAGCCAGTTGTAAATTTAATAATTCAAGCAAATTGATTTACATTGCCCTATTTTAGTCATTGATTTAGACTGGGCAATTAACCCAGGCCAAGTATATTTTTTCCTACATTGTCCATCATAATCAGGCAGTACCATAATTCCCGGACATGTAAACATTGCCCAATAGTCTACTTTGTCTGTAACATAATATATATAAACCACAATATAAATATACTGCATAATAAATCGAGAGAAAATATCTTGAAAAAGTATCACACTAGAGTGGAAGTATCTATTAAATTCGTGGACACTGTTTAATCGTTTATTTATTATTTCGTGATGTTATTTATATATTCATTTTTTAATTCATTAAAATTAAACTCGTATTAAAAATCATTGTACAAAACTATGAAAAATATAAGATAACCTCAAGTTGGGTTCCAAATTTTAAAAACGATATGGATTAGGTCCCAATAATTTTACCAAGTACACGAGTTGGGTCCAACCAACGTTGCCCAAGAGACATCGTGTAAAGATTGGCTAGTAAGTCGCTCAAAACTTTTTTTTTATTACGTAAACATGACGGCGGTCTGATGTAAAAACTATTAATTAATATTATTGAATCAGTAATTTTTTGTTGTTGTTTGTTACCTTTATTTTTATGTATAAAATTATTATGGAATTAACTTGGTTTTAGCTTAAAAAGGTGATAATTGTCTGGTTATGTTGTTATCAAGATAACATTAGTATAAAATATTACCATGGACTCAATTTAAGTATTATCAAATAATACCGTAAACCCAACTTACATTTTTTCAAAATAAGGTATATTGACTAATATATTGAGAAGGTACAATAAAATTCAAATAGGCATTAAAAAAATAATTTTTTTAAATTAAAATTTATTTATCAGATTAATTTTATAAATAAATTGCTTGAAAGAATTGGTTACAACTTCTTAAATCAACAAGATTTAACTGATTTATCACATAACTTATGATAATATTCTAAATTATTATCTATAAAACATTTTTCAAAAATTACACTCAATTCGTGTTAATCTATATCTATGCAGTGTTTAAATTTATCAAAATATTATTTTTGTCTATATCTTTAAGTACCTATATTACATTAGATTTCTGTAGATGTAATTTATGAGAGGAAGGAAAATCGTATATTTTTGCTTTAGTCTAATAAATATAATTTTAAATAATTTAATTTAATTGTTGAATATAAATGTTTATCTGGAATAATATTAAAAATATAAAATACAGCTCTCCTCATTTAACCGTCAGCATATCATAAAAAGTATTAACTTTAGTGTTGAAAATACACAATCAATATACAATTATCCATTTGGGTTAAAAAAAAAAAAAACATGTCCTTTGTTAATAAAATCTTAAAAGTTACCTGTGATGGTGATGAGCAGCTGCAGCAGTATATTGTTGGTAATGTGTTTGCCATGGATCTGCAGGGTTACCAGCAGTGCTATGATGATGGTACATTGTGTCGGGATGATACACTTGACTAGTGGAGTGATGTGAGTGATAATTACTGTTCCAAAACGACGCTGGGAAGTTTCTGGAAGTCATTGGGGAAGTATCTGAAATTATAAAATATAACGTTAATAAAAAACAAGAAGAATAAATAACATGATTAGTTTGTTTGTAGTATTATGAATTTGTAATACTTTAGCCAAGATTAGACAAGTCAATGGTACAAATAAAGTTAATACTGATTTGCATATCTTAAAAAATTAACAAAATGTAATTTAATTAAAAGTTAGTGTTTAGATATCTTTATTAATTTTATTTTAGTTAGGTAAATCATTTTATATTAATTTCATGAAGTTGAAAGGTTTGGTTCACATAATCATATAATTGTTTTCCTGTAAATTTAAATTTACAATATTTTAAAATAAATATCACAACTTCTACTTTTCTTAGTAATTAATAGGTTATAGTGTCTATAGATTTATAGGAACTTAGAGCGTAGGATAATTAATATATTTTATTTCGGAATGTATATATGTAAATCTGTTTCAAAATTTTAAACATAAATATAATTTGTAACAAAAATAATTAATTATTGAATTTATCGAAAACAAAGTTTGTAATTCTTTGTATAATAACACTAAAAACGTTGTTCTATCAGAACATATTTGCGATTGTGCGTTTCCAAGTTCAAACGGTAAAAGAGTTAAGAGATAAATCGAAATAGTTACCTATATTTTATAATTCTGCATTTAATCGTATTTGTCGTTCATGTAGCAATATAGAGTTGGAAAACGCAAATTGTAAATCGCTTTCTATCTGCACGTACTTTAAAATCGAACGTGCTGTTCTATGTCAATATTTAATCGCAGAAAAGATTTGTGAACCTAACAGGTACGTCTTGCAGATAGAAAACGATTTGCAAGTGATACAAACGAATAATCGCAGAAAACTCAACTATTTTTATTAGTCGGCTGGTAAAACAATTTGATGCTTTAATCGTTAAAAAATGCAATAATTACTCTAAGTCTGTTCTATTCACATTGTATACTATTGCATACGTTACGGGTTTATTGAACTCGTGTACATGATTATATTAAAAATGCAACTATACAAAATGTGATCAGCGCATAATGAAGTGAGAGCAGCACACGGAAACATTTTTAGGTGTCAAATACAGTAGTATAATAAAACAGGTGAATTAACAGAAGTAAATATAAGTCATTGTATAATAGTTTATATTATACTATATATTATAATATACATATTACCAATTAGAGCTATCCGTTGATCGATAATATGATGACATATTAAACATTTTTAAATTTTTAAAATGATCAACATACATCATATATGAACTACATTACCACATATATATAAAGATATATATAAATTATTCATTAAAAATGTTATCTAATCAACGCGTGCGTATAAAAATGCGACGATTTTTGACGCGTGTCAGATTGTCATTGTATACTTACATAGTTACGTATGTTACATACGTAAATAGGTTCAAAGAGTTCGCATGTATAAATATTTCTGTAGAAACAAAAATCCCGTAAACATTGGTACAGTTAAGCCACTGTTATTGAATATCATACCTGCAGTATAATAATATGTTATCACATATAGACTCGTAATTATTGCATAACATACGATTACAATTTCGTATATTTGTTTAATATATTGCTTGGACTTTGAGTGGTTCATATCTTAAACTCGTGTAAATCTTATATCTGCTCTAAGTACGAATTTAAAAATAATTAGTCAAATTAATATTGTGTTACAACTTTACAAGTTATAAATTATCAACCGTGGAAAATCGACCGAGTTCCACGCCTGGGTCCTGTATAATATTATAACTTTTAAAAATCGAGTGTGTGTTTGTGTTCATACCACCGATGCCGCCAATCCGATCTATTGTTTCCCAATCGAATTTGGAGTAGGTTTATATGTATATGTATATATTTACTGCGATGGTGGAAAATAAAAGAGATACGGATCGAAGTCGGCGTTTGGACAAAAGACGTTCGGAGAAGTGCAAACGAATATATACGCGAGTGTGTACGTAAAAAATATATAAAATAATAAAAAATAAAAAAAAAAACAATGAGGAATTAAGAAGCGAATAAAACATATGTGTGTATATGTGTGTATGTGTGTATGTGTGTGTATGTATGTGTGTGTGTATAACAGGTTTGGTCGAGTCCAATATAATTTACAAATCTACTCGATCACACAACACACACAAAACACAACCGCGCGCGCGCATATGCGTTCTTCTACACCTGTAAAAAGACAACAATAGCTCTTCTTCCAAAGCGCAGCCGAAGATAAAAATAAATAATTGAAACAGTGAACCCGTGGGAAAGCCCGAATACGACACATTTATTACAGCCTGAACACCCGACTTACATTATAAATCTTTTCGGACCAAACAATCCGCGCCTCTTTGCCCTACAGCCGACACGCACAAATTCAAGTGCTCGCAACAAACCGTAATAATTGAGCTCCCAAAATGAGCTGGAACAATGATATAACCAATGGTAGAGGGATTTAGGAGTTATAAAAAGTTTTATACAATTACAACTAAAAACATTTTAAGATGTAGAATACAATATTATCATGATATCCGACAAAAATATATTTTTAATATTTTTTATCTTTATAATTTTTTAAGTTTCTTACTCTATTGAACGACAACATTCATTTTTAATTTCATATACCGAAATAGAATATTATTTAAAGAATTTCAATCTATAAAAGTCAAATTTCGAACAAATAGTTGATCAGTTATAACTTGTAAATATTTAAAATTTAAATGAGCGAAGTAGAGGTCCAACATTTTGCATGGTATCGATGTAACAGTAACACTTATTACTTCATTCATATTCACGAAAAATACTTATGAGTTTTAAGTTTTAACTCATAAGCAATTCGTCCAAGATTTTATTTTTATCTATCAAAGTACTTCAAAAATATTTTTCTTTGGAATAATAAAAATTTAAAATGCATGTTGTCATTAAAACGAACAGAAATTTAAAAAAATGATAACAAAACAAAATATAATATTTTTTTTTTGATTTTTCAACTTCTTAAAATTATTTAAAACACTATTTTCAAAAATGTAAACATATTTTAAAATTATGTGTTTTTTTTTTTATTAAATAAGCCACTCAGTACATGTGTTATCGATTTGACTATTTAAAAGTAGAGATATTACTAAAGTACAGTTTTTTCTTGAATATATTTGTCTCTAAATCACCCACAATACTCCAAAATAAAATCCTTCAGTTATGTGACTGGTTTTATGTAATAATGTACCGATCCTCTCACAGCAATGTCTTCGTTTAAGTTTAAATGATTATAAAGTTATGCAGGAACCCGACAATCTATTCGAATACGTTATATGTAATAATAATATAAGCAGCGTATGTGTGCGCGATTTCCGTTTATTAAACTTCCGTTAGCGCCAAGTTTCAAGAACCCTCGACGTTGTTTCGGCACCGGTCTATAAACGCCGCGGGTTTTGCAAATATTTCGTTGAAACTCGAGGATATTATTATTAGACTTCTGCAAACTGTTTAATCGCGGCAAACTTCATTATATACTTACTAATTGCACATCTTTAACGTAAATAGTTCGTGCATAGTATATATTATCACTTTTGTAATCCCATACATAGACATACACAAAATAATATGTATTTCTATTGTTAATATACATATGTACCACTATGAACACAGCATATTATTATTTAATATTTATGATATTATGCGTAAGATCTTCAAGTAATAATAATATTATATATTATAATATACAATATATTTATTATTATTTTTATAATATTATATTAAATACTTAAATCGCTCATAAAATATTAATTATGTTGCTTAATGCTTATATTTTTTTGTCCAGTAAAATTTTTATGAGGAGCCTTATATTAAATTTTTAAACCCTAAGTGTTAAAATTAATATTTTTTTAAAATTTAAACTATAAAAATTTGATCAATTTCGCCAAGAACTGTACTACAAAGTTCAAATGCATATATATATTTATATATATGAAAAAAAAATTTAATTATGTATTCTCGATATTTTTTTAACTGTTATTAGAATTTCCAATGAGAAATATTATTAAAATTTTTCAACTTGTATTCAAAAATTTTATCAACATAAACCAAAAAATTTTAAAGAAATGCAATTACGAATATTTTTAGTAAAACTTGTAAAGCCTCAATGGTTAATTACTTTTGAATTACAATAAAATAAATTTCACCGAAAAATAATTGTGGGTAAATATTCCCGTTGCCTGTAATTTATTTTTGGAACTCTCAAAATATGAACTAGATTCAATTTTTTAATATGAGCTTTTATCAAACTGGAAATATTAGAGTTTTTACTACACATATTATTATTGCAAATCAAATATATTTAAGTATGTACAATATTATAAATCTAAAAATTGAACTCATATTTTTAATAAAACAATAAACACTTAATTAATTTATTATTGATTTAAAAATTATAATAAAAAATACAAAACTACGTTATTTAATATAGTATTTATAAATTAAAACATTGTCACGTTAATAAAATTGTTCAATTTATTCACTAGTATATAAATAAAATTTTTAAAGTAGGTACATAATAACATTTTTAATTAATGAACGTTTATTGAGACATTCTCAAATTATTTTTACATACGCATAATAGCAAAAAATAAACCACACATGACTACGTTCTTCTGATAGGGTTTATAGAAAAATTAATTAACCGATATTATTTAAGCATTTAAAATTTTTATCACTAGGAATGATTAATAAGTACAAATATTATTGTAAGTATAGTTATTAAGGTTTGAGATTTCTTATTACAAAAATATCTTCAGATATTTTAGGTATCTGTACTTATATAAGTAAATTACACATAGTAATAATATGAAATCTCAACGTCAATATTGTAATTTAATTGTAAATATAGATCAATTTTTTGATATTTATGATTGCGCTTTTCTGTATCGTATAGAATATATAGTTAATTGTCAAAAAAACATATTATTTTCTTATTACATACTTTTAATAAAAATAATGCATATAGAATACAGATACTAAGGAAAATGTTTTCAGTTAATATTTATAAATTTAACAGAGTAATTATTGATTCAATTTGTAAATAATAATTACAATTACTCCAAATAATTAGTAGTTACTACTTTCTTTTTTGTTTAACACAAAATATTAACTATGATGAAATGAGTGAATATACAAAATATATACTACAATCTAAACATTGTATCAGTAGGTATATAATGTTGTTTCCAATATTTCTTATTATTTTTTTTTTTTTTTTTTTTTTTTTTAATAGTTTACGACATATATTTTCATCTTACGACAGAGCATGATTATATCTCTAACAGGATTTTTTAAGGTGACCCTAGGTTAAGTTAATCACATTAATTCTTGTTTTTTTTTTTTTGTGTTTTGATCAATCGTGGATAAACAAAATATTAGGTACCACGTAAACATTATACAGTAAATAATTTTAGCGGTGCATTCCCAGCTTATTTGTGTTTAAATAATCTATTATAATAAGTAGTATACACAACACAAATAAAATATTTAAGTGATGATTACTAAAATATATTATACGTTAAAGAAACATTTAAACGATAATTTGTGTCAGAAAAGTATATAATCAGTTTATGTGAATAATAAATTATAAAGCGCTATTAATTATTTAAAGTACCTTAATAACATTAAACAATTAAATACTTTAACGTATCTATAATTAATACAAAATGAATTCTATTTAAATTGAATCCCAAATTTCATCAGATTATATTTTAAATATCTGTACAAATTATTAATATGTTTTATAGTTTTAAAAATAACAAACTTTTACAAAATAATTTAAATTTATATCAATAAATTTTGTAAATAGTAATAATAAAAATAAGAAAATAAATAACATTAACTGAATGTCATTGAAATTAAATAATACCTACCTAAAACCTATACATCATAAAAATAGTAATGCCAAGTTTCAAAAAAAAAAAAAAAATTAACCTTATAAAATCATAAATATTTTATTAGTAGGTATTTTGTGAAACTGTGTCCAGATGATATGTGTTGATTTATAACAAATTAGTCTTAATAATTTTACGTTAATTTAAAGTAAAATACGATATAAAATATAAATATATAAATATCGTATGCTTAATAAAAATATAATTAATAACAAGCTTTTATTTAAAACATTGTTTAAAGTTAATACTCATTTGAATTCATTCAGTTTTTCTTCAAATTTGACTGTATAAACCACTAAACATATCTTTATGTTTGATTGCAATAAATAGCACGTGCGATTAGTGTCCTCGTAGCTTGACAATATGTAATGATATTGTAAAAAAAATAAGTAATGTATCGTCGACGTGAGTTTGGCGTGTGTTATTCCATATACGCTCACACGCACATTAAATGCTTGTACACTCAGTGCTCGTGCATGTGTGTGTGCGCGCGCGCGTATTGATTGTTACGTGGAGAACCAGTTTTTTCGCGATGGAAGACGCATTCCTGTAGGAGGTGTTTTACAAGTGAAAGAGTTTTCTTGTACTAATTAAAAACCTATTAAAATAATACTCAATTCTCACGCGGTCAGTATATATAACAATAAATAATGTGTCATTGCGACTTATGGGATGAAACAGAAGAACAATTTTTCGAGAGAAGTATAAAAAAAAAGAAAAAACGGCTGCAGTCTGAAATGTTAAGTTTTTTCACTCCAAAGCGAAAACGCATTCTCAGTCATAAGGTCATTCCCAACATCGCCGGAGGTTTATGAGTTTTAAGCGCGGTAAACTTAAAGAAAATAATATTATACTATATAGAGTGAAGAGAGTGAGAAAGAGAAATTCCTACGGTATATCACTATTATACTTCTCCTATAAGTATAAGTCTTCTCAATATTACAGTTAAATGTCACTGGTCGATCTAAATATGTAAAGTTTGTATACGTTATTGGTCTACACATATAAAACACAGCCCCTCCCCCTTGAATTTACCAATTATCCAAGTTACTTATAGCGAAATATATAGTACAATATTAAATTAGTAGATATTATTACATTATGTTCATTGTATAACTATATTAAATATTATGTGTTAATTAAATGCGTTGAAATTGAATTTAAAACTTTTTAGCGATTTACCTTTGGTCGATGTTTGATGGGCATTGTTGAGTTTTTGATCACTGTTCAACGCCCTGGAAAAGTGTTCGTCTACCACGGTGGCGACGTCTCCGGTATAGTGGGTGAACACTACGCAATTCACCGACACGTATTGCGCATGTGCAGCGGTACGCCTGTCCCCGCGCGTTCTAGAATCGTCCTGCACGTTGTCATCGTCCTCGTCCATTTCAGTGCGAGCATCTACAAAAAAAAAAAATAAATACCAACCACCAAAAAACATAAATAAAAGTCTTTGAGAGCAAAAAAAGTATAAAACTTTTTAAATCCATCATCATAATCTGTTCATTATGTCTCATTTTCTATTTTCGTCTTAATTCCGTTAACACGAACAAGAAAAAAAACAGTTTAAAACTATCCCTCTTTTGAATACATTATCATCTCGTTAAGTCACCGTGGACTGAATTACAATTCGGTATAAAACTTCTAAAAAAGGACGATTTATGTACCACAATTATGCGTTGTATATTATAAAATAATGTTTATTAAGACGCCTCTGTGTTTTGTAAGACAACAAAGCAGATTAATCTCAATATCATGAGGATAAAGCATCCTTGGGCACGTTAATTGAAGAGGATGCTTTGGGGCGATGAATATTGTCTTTTGTGAACGCTTTTAAGTATTTTAAGGATATCTATACATCACACGTATTGTTTAAGAACTGCATAGCAATAAGTATTTTAAAAAAATTACAAAATATTCTGAAACTTATAACTATTGTCAAAAATATTATCCAAAATTATACATTGACAATAATATATTAATTTTAATATTTTTTTTTTAATTTAAATTTTTAATACTTATGAAAGACTGATTATGTGAATTAAACTATATTATTAATTAACAAATACATATTAAATAACCTATGATATAGTAAGAAAATATAATATATAAAGTAAATTTAAGTTTAAAATAACATAAAATATTAAAGTTATCTTCAGTAGGAATTGTATATAATTAAGTTGAATTGTTTATTTAAACCTATAGATAGGCGTTTTATAAAAATATAAATTGTATTTGATTGACACTTATACTGGAAACCTCACATTATTATCTTTCATGTTTTGCATGAGTTATTAATGTTATTATATATATATATAGATACTAAAGCAATGTATACATGACTCGTTGGGATATCTGTGTTCTACATAAAATAATATGTGTACGTCTAATCGTAAACACATACATTATTCTATTTCTGTCTGTATAAACTTCTTGATGATAATATAATAGTTTTTATTATTTTAACAGTTACCTATTAAAAATATAAACCTCAGCTCGTGCACTGTTATATTAAATATGATTGATTTCTTAAGATATAATAACTTTTTAAACAAATAATTTTTAAATTTCTTTATGAAGTCGTTAATAATTTATAAACATTTTATAACCAAGCTAATATTTAATAATTATATAATTATATAATAGAGGAATTTTAACTGTTGACATATTATTACACAGCGCTCTCATTATTTTAAAAATTATTTTAACTCAAACAAGACATTTCCAATTATTTGAAAACTTTAACATAATTAATACGCAACCGATATATATAGTAAGCTTTAAAATATTTATTTTTACATTCTTGTTGACACATGTGTTGGCTGGTGAACTAGCAATCAACTTAAGATTTTAAATCGTAACTTACATATTTAATTTTATACATTCATGATATGAATCTTTTTATTCATATTATTATAATATAAAACAACTTTTACTTTTTATATAATACATAAATTGCACATTTTCATGAACTTCATGACTTCCAAATTTGTACTAAAGTTAATAATTAATACGGTTGTATTATTAATTATTATTATGATTATTACCGTCTCTGGATGTGTCCTCTTCCTTGTGCACTACCGAAACGCTATTGGCTGTAGCCGGCGAGGATGCAGGACTTGCGATTCCACCTACAGGGCCCACGCTGGACGCTCCGGATCCGACGCTGCTGTGGTGTGAGTCTGTATGATCTGCAATTGTTGTCCATCTGTTAGCCGGCGAATCTCCACCACCAATTGGCGAAGATGTGGATGCTTGTTGGTGTGTTTCCAACGCTCTTAACTGTAAACAAAAACATTATTTGAATGGTGCAATATTACACATAGTATCAATAATTTATAGTATTAAAATATTCAGTGTGTTCACTTCAAATGGAACCAGTAAATATTACAGCTGGATGGCTTTTATCGCCTTTGCATTTAAATGAGATTTTCGGAAGGTGAAAAATGTATTTAAAATAAACGTTTTGTTAAAATTAAAATTTCAATAATTTCGGTATGCGTATAGACAATACAAGTTATTTTTTTTAAAATAGTAACGCCAATAATTTTTATCAGATTTACATTATCTCTTTTTTTTTTTTGTATATAAATAATAATTTCATAGTTACCTGTTAACTATAAAATTGACAAAGTTAAAGTAAATTAAAATACTGTACATTATATAAACAAAGTCTATTATCAGTTATTACGCTAAAATTGTATTTTATGAATAATGGGTTTTTCATAATGAAATACTAAGTTATCCACATCGAAACATAATACTGCGATTAGTGCGATTATTATTATACTAATATTGTAATTTGTTCATCCATATTTATAGACGAATAGGCATAAAGATAACGTACATTAAAATTAACAAATATACAGACTTAAGGGGATTGGAAGCGGTGACTTTCTGTCTTTGTCTAATACATGCGTAACATAGGATTATTAACGTGTTCTATTTCCAACGTGCCAATTTATATAATGAAGTGATAAGAATTCTGAAAACAGATTAGAATTTGGCGTCAAATCTTATATCGACTTAACTATATTTTTGATTTTAACTTCTCCAGAAATTGAAATATGTCAATGTTTAATCACTTTTTATTAATATAAAGTTTTTAGAATTTTGAGTCATGAAATCAAAATGGTGGGAAAGTCGATCTCAAGTAGACTTGACGACAAATTTAAATCTATTTTCAAAATTCTTATTTTATTATTGCTTCATTATAGCAATATCGGTACGTTAGTAATAAAACAGTCTAAAATCCTATGTTGTGCATGTAATAGACAAAAACAGTTTAACTGCTTCCAATTCCCTTAAAACTTTTGATTTAATTAAATTACACTACATAAATATTTAATAAGTAAAATACTATTATTTGAAGATTTTGATTCATAAAATACTTTATTTAAAATAAAATGTATTTTTGCATTAATAATGTTAGATATTAAATTGAGATATAATCGTATTTTATTTTGCCATGGATAGTTTAATAATAATTATTTGCCATCATAAATTCAAAACTATAGACATCGCGGAGACGTGTTGATTGAATTTAATACGATTATCTACTGTTGCGGCTTAGCCTTTTAGACTAATGACGGTCAATTAATATTAGTTATATTATTACACAACGCAAATCAAACGAGTGCTGAGAAACCGGTTGAGTTTAAAGGACACACGGATGAAAAAAAAAGTGGTAGCCCAAACTTTTTTCTTCCGAAAAATATCAATTGTCTTATCATCATACTACCTTTCGTATAATATAACAGTCCATTGTAGAAAAAATAATAATAAAGAAAAAATAAAAAAAAATTTAAAAGAATGAAAAAAACCTAAACAAGAATAAATTGTAAGATGGACCAGATACAATATAGGAATGCGGAGTCGGGTCGGACTTAAAAGAGCATTCCTCGTGTCCCGGCACACACCGGCTACCTCTGATGACCATAAATCAACATGGATACATACCCGCATATACCTATAACACAGTATTTGTATGTACACTAAACTTTACAGCGTGCGGTAATTTTTAATTCTTTGTTTTGTACAAATAGTTTTTTTTTCATCTCTCCCATACATCGAATACCGTTACACGATAACACAACGAAATCATAATATATATGATTTAAAATATGATTTTCCTCATTTTATAAAAAAACAAGCTAGAATTTCCACGAACATGATATTATTATTACAACAATAATATGTCTCGGTTAGGGATTTTTTTTTCTGATAGGGGCGCCACAACACACAGTAGCACGGAGATATGGAATCCCACTCATCTCAGCCATTCCAATTTGTTCATTAGGCTTGGTTCATATAAAAATATTTCAAATGTTTCTTTTGTGTACATCGCATTTTATGCATGTGAGTATTTTCACGTCCACTTATTGCGCTCTCCTAGCAGTATGCGCTAAAGAAATATTTTCACACGGCCTTTAGAAATATACAAACTCACAAGGAAGAACTAAACATAAATTTAATCATTCTTCGCAATAAAACACGGTAAACGTATACGATAATATACTCAGAAAGCTTTAAACAGAGTTAAATGCAACTAGAAATTTTTTTGTTAATATGCCACGTATGTTAAATAAATAATAATATTATTCTATATGGCCAATATAATGACTCATTATCATCAAATATTAGAAATGATATTCAGACTGCACAGGTATAAAAAAAATATGTCATTTGCATAATTTTATTATATTACAGCGACAATCTCCTAACAATAAAGTTCATTATAAATAGTTGATGAGCGTTTTCTGCTTAAATCCAAAATATCATATTATGATGATAAACTATACTATATTATTGTCTATATTATTTATCACACACGTTTGAGCACCTGTAAGTTCATCAATGAGTAAAAATATTCAGAATGAGAATATATCAGAATCGATCAATCCGTAAAGTTAAAATAATATCGTTTAATCTTTGTTTATACTTTTTGTTTATAATCTCAAGTTAAAATTATTATCATTTATCATTATTGATAATAACAAAATGGTTTCATAATAAAATTACTATTAAATTTGTCTATACCTAGTTGCATATAATTTATAAATAACTTTGTAAAACGTTATTGTATAATTGATGTAATTAACTTAATAAAAATACACAAATCAATGCCAAATGGTTACTAAAATTATTTTAAATATATTTTAAAAATTAAAATAACTTAACAGATATTATTAGATAGCTATTTAAGCATAATTTATAAACTATTCTTTGATATCGAGATTTATCTTTATTAGGTAGGTACCTACACGCAAAACCAATATTTTCTTAAACTAAATATGTATAAAGTTAACAAAAATAAAATAAAACCAAATATATTATCCGTATCTATTCTTAAACTGGTTACTGAAGTATTTTCCAATTCCAAACATAATTTGAAGCTTAAACTTTTAAATTTAATAGGAAGATAATTTTTATGGATAAATATATTATTATTATTAAAAAATATAATTAAAACTTGAGTATTAAATAATATCATATATTTACTACAATTAAGCTTAAAAATAAATAAATTTACAAATGTATAGATACCTAAATAGCAATTACTTATTTAATATTAATAAGAATTTAATTTAATTAATTAATATCCAAATATGTTAAAGTAAATAAATAATACAAAAGACAATCAATCATGGACTTGTTAGAATATATAAACTGCTTTTATAAAATAACCATATTTTTTTTTTTATATCAAATGACTAATAATACATTAAAACAAAACATTATTTTTTAAATAATCACGTATCGAGAAGGTTGTCAATAAAATACGACAATACAGGCGCGTGTCGTATAAATTTGCCCATACCAATAATATTATCCAGTTTCCCCAACATTCTACAATTAATTTACAACCGTAGTCGACACAATTTAACAAAATTATTTTATCGTATAAACCTGGATTTTTGTCTTTACTTCCACCCTGGATGTATTCTTATCATCTTCATTAAAGTATTACAAGTCACTTAATTAAGTAATAAACTTATTAAAACATTTATTTTAAAATATGCAATGTAGTTGAGTATAAATAACTTAAATAAACAACGGTACACACATATTTATTGTCTCTATGTTACAAGTACACAACATTGAAAATTTACATTCAGTAATCACATTGAAATTCGTCAGATTTATTAAAAGCCAATGACTTATTCGAAATAAAAAAAAAATGTAAGGTTAGTCCAATATTATGTATTTAGTTACCAGTTTAAATATAAGGGGAATACATGTAAAACTTTTCAATCATTCGAAGTCCAGCAATAATATACGAAATGTATCTATATCTAAATTAAATATTTAAATATAGATATGTACCTCATTACTCATTACGTTTATGAACAGAATCTTAAGAAAAAATTCAACTAAATATGTTTGAAATTTGTAATAATTATTCAATTATTATTATAAACAGTTAATATATCAATCTTAATATGAATAGTAGATATTAATGTATCTTATGTATCAATATATAGTGATATATGGGTAACATTTTAACGGGGAGGGGAAAAAATAAAAAAAGATCTCCAATTTAAACTAATTAAAGGTTAATAATATTTTAACATATAAATATAGTTAAGCTTAATTATATGTTATTATTTATATATTTAAAATTTATATTAATATATTATAGTTAATTAAAATAAATTTTAATAGGTATAGGAAATAAAATATAATCAACCATATCAGTAAATTAATACTATACATTTGTTCATTTCATCTTATGTAGTTAAACAAATTATTTCATGATATCTAAGTCATTAGGTAATAATATTAAAATAACATTCCTTAAATTACAAGTTAATATTATTTTTCCAGAGGGGGAGCAAGCGCTTTATCGTGACTTCGAAGGACGCCCATTGCCATGTAGTAATGTACATAGGTATCTATGGAATATTTAATGTAATTATATATAAAGGTATACTTGCAAAATATGTATACTCTACTCTTAAATATCCTAAATTTTTATATAATATAATAAAGTAAGTGGGTGTTCATTACTTATATAATTCAAACAAAAATTAAATATTTTTTTAAATATTAAAATTTAAACATTCATAGCACTAAATATATAAATTTTTTTCAATGTTTGCAATTAAATCAATATTTTATAATAAATTACTGCTGAAAAATACATTTAAAATATTATATTGATTTTCCTTAAAATACTAGAGGTGATTGGAAACTTAGGTATATAACATAATACTGCATATAGGTATAAATATATAAATATACCAATGAACATTGAACGTGAATAAAATGAAAAATTCAGT